GAAAGAATGGCCTCTGTTTCAGTCTTTTGGAGTAGTTTGTAAAGAGTTGGTATCAATTCCTCTTTGAAGGTTTGGTAGAATTCTGCAGTAAACCTGCCCATTACTGGGTTTTTCTTTCTCAGGAGCCTCTGATAACAGCTTCAGTTTCTTTTATTGTTGTTGGTCTGTTCAGAATTTCTATATCTTCTTGGCTCACTTTTGGTATTTTGTGTGTGTTCAGAAATTTATCCATTTCCTCCAGATTTTCAAATTTGTTGGTATATAGTTCTTTATAGTAGTCTCTAATGATTTCTTGTATTTTTGAGGTATCAGTTGTAATATCATCTTTTTCATTTCTAATTTTTGTTATTTGGGTCTTCTCTCTTCTTTTTTTTAAATTAGCCTTGCTAATGGCTTGTCAATTTTATTGGTCTTTTCAAAAAACTACCTTTTGTTTCTCTGATCTTTTGTATCTTTTTTCTGGTTTCTATTTCATTTAGTTGTGCTCTGATCTTAATTATTTCTTTCCATCTACTAACTTTGGGTTTGGATTGTTCTTGATTTTCTAGTTCTTTAGGGTGAAGTGTTAGGTTGTTTACTTGTCATCTTTCCATTTTTCTGAAGTAAGCATTTAATGCAATAAATTTCCCCCTTAGCACTGCTTTTGCAGTATCCCATGGGTTTTAGTGTGATGTGTCATTATTTTCATTAGTTTCAAGAAAGTTTTTGATTTCCTGTTTAATTTCTTCTTGGACCCATATGTCATTAAGTACAATGTTGTTTAATTTCCATGTGTTTGTATAATTTCCAGAGTTTTGTTTGTTATTGATTTCTGATTTTAATCCATTGTGATCTGAAAAAATACATGGAATAATTCCAATTTTTTAAAATTTGTTGAGACTTGATTTGTGACCTAACATGTGGTCTACCCTGGAGAATGTTCCATGTGCTGATGAGAAGAATGAATGTTCTGAGGTTGTTGGATGGAATGTTCTATAGATATCTGCCAAGTCTAATTGTTCTGAAGTGTTGTTTAGATCTTGTGTTTCTCTATTGATTTTTTGCTTAGATGATCTGTCCAATGTTGAGAGTGGATGTTCACATCCCCTGCTATTATGGTTTTAGTGTCTGTCTCATTCTTTAGGTCTAATAGTGTTTGCTTTATAAATCTGGCTGCTCCAGTGTTGGGTGCATGTATATTTATGATTGCTATGTCTTCCTGATGGATAGATCCTTTTATCATTATATAGTGGCCTTCTTTATCTCTTTTTATGGTTTTTGGTTTAAAGTCTATTTTATCTGATAAAAGAATAGCTACTGCAGCTTGTGTTTTGTTTTTATTTGCATGGTATATCTTTTCCATCCTTTCACTCTTAGTCTATGTGTGTCTTTACAGTTGAGATGAGTCTCTTGAAGGCAGAATATTGTTGGGTCCATCTTTTTAATCCAGTTAGTCAGTCTGTGTCTTTTGAGTGGGGAATTTAATCCCTTTACATTTAGAGTTATTTTGAAAGGTGTTAATTTACTCCTAGCATTTTATTGATTTTTCTTAGGATGTCTTAAGCCTCTTTTGTTCCTTTCTTTCTGATTTCTGTTTGTCTTCTCTGTTTGTTGGTTTCTTGGGGTGGTAGATAATCTATTTTTTTCTCTTTATTGTTAGCATTTTTATTTTATAGGTGGGTTTTGTTTTTTCTTGGCAGTATTCATAGCAGTGATGGTTGTTTTCAGGTACCATACACAATACTCACTTGAGAATTTCTTGTAAGGCTGGCATGTGGTAGTGAACTCCTGTATTTTGTTGGTGTGAGAAATATACTATTTGTCCTTCATTTCAGAAGGATAGCCTTGCTGGGTAAAGTATTCTTTGCTGGCAAGTTTTGTCTTTTAGTATTTTGAATATATCACCCCATTCTTTTTTGGCTTTTAGGGTTTGTGATGAAAAGTCTGATGTTAGTCTGATTGGGGCTCCCTTATAGGTAACTTGATGCTTCTCTCTTGCAGCTTTTAAGATTCTGTCTTTGAGCTTTGCCAGTTTTACTATAACATGTCTTGGAGAGTAACTTTTTGGGTTGAATATGTTTGGGGATCTTTGAGCCTCCTGAGTCTGAAGATCTGTATCTTTCCCTACACCTGGGAAGTTTTCTGCTATTATTTCATTGAATATATTTTCAATGCCATTTCTTTTTTCCTCCCCTTCTGGAATACCCATGATTCAGATATTTGTGCACTTAAGGTTCTCTGTTATCTCTCTTAGATTTTCTTCAATTTTTAAAATTCTGTTTTCTTTTTTTTTTCTTCACCTGTATTATTTTGAACAGCTGATCTTCAAGGTCAGAAAGTCTTGTTCTAGCCTGCTGGTTAAACTCTCTTGTTTTTTTTTTTATTTCATTGAATGAATCCTTCAGCTCCACAAGCTCTGCTACATTCTTTTTCAGGGCATTGATTTCTTTGTACATTTCTTCTTTCAGTTCCTGTATACTTTTTCTCATTTCATTGTGTTATCTACCTGAGTTTTCTTGTATCTCATTTAGTTTCCTTAGAATGGTTGCTCAAGATTCCTTGTCAGTCATTTCAGGGACTTCCTGTTCTATAGGATCTAGAGCTTGAGAGTTATTATTTTCCTTTGGTGGTGGTGTAGTTTCTTAATTTTTCATTTTTCTGGTATCTTCTCTTTGGTGTTTAGTCATCATGGCAGGGGTATCATGGTCCACTTGTTCTACCCTGGTGTCTGGCCAGGATCCCACAGGGACTGCCAATTCTGGGTGGCAGGGACTGGCCTGGGCTGGGGGGTCCCACAGAGTGGCATGTGCCTTTTCTGGTGTGGCTGACTCGGGGTGTGTGGTCCCGGTGACTCTTGGCCTCTCTGGGTGACAGGGACTGGGTTGGGCTGGGGGTCCCACAGCACATGGCGCCTGCCTGTTCTGGCATGGCTGGCTTATGGCATGTGGGCCCTGCAGCTCTTGGGTCTCTCTGGGTGGCAAGGACTGGCCCATGCTGGTTGTCCCATGTAACGCAGCACCTGCCTGTTTCAGTGCAGCTGGTTCGGGGTGTGTGGGCCTGGCAGGTCTTGGGCCTCTCTGGGCAGCTGGGACTGGCCTGGGCTGGGGCCTGCCCTTTTACTATTGTTTTAATGGTTAACCTCAAGCTAATAATGTGAATCCTTGACTTGTTAAAGTCTAATATATATTAATAATTTTATTATTTTGTAGACAATGTAAGTATCTTAAAACACTTGAATGCTTTTTATTCCCTATACCACAGTTCTTAATTATTGTAGTTTTGTAGTAAATATTGATGTCTGGTACAGAAGTCCTCCAGCTTTGTTGTTCTTCAAGTTACCTTGAATATTTCAGATTTCTTGCATTTTCATGTAAATTTTATAATCATCTTGTAATGTTTTGGGGATTTTGATTGGAATTATATTAACTTTGCAGATCAAGTTTGAAAAAAGTGGCACTTTTGCAGTATTGGGTCTTCTAGTCCAAGGACTTGACATATTTCTGAATTTATAAGTATTTAGCTATGCTTTATATCTTTTTGACAAAATTATGATTTTTAGATGTCTTGTACCTTCATAATCAGACTGAATCCTAGGTTCTTTGTATTTTTGATGCTTTCATAAATGGTTTGTTTAAATTTCGTATTCTTTTTTCCCATTTAGTAAATAAAGATTTAATTAGGCTTACGTATTTTTTTTTTACACCGTCTAGTTGTACATATTTGTGAAGTATAGTGTGTTGTTTCAGTGCATGCATATTCTTTTTTCCCATTTAGTAAATAAAGATTTAATTAGGCTTACGTATTTTTTTTACACCGTCTAGTTGTACATATTTGTGAAGTATAGTGTGTTGTTTCAGTGCATGCATATACTGCACAATGATTCACTAAGGGTAGTTATGTATATGCTATCAACCCTAAGTGAATCATTTAAATGATTGTTTGTTACTGTCATATTGAATTTTAACTCATTTTTGTATGGAGATTTTGTAACTAGCCAACTTGCAATGTGCTGTTATTCATTCTAATAATTTACCTATACAGCCATTTGGATTTTCAACGTATATGACCGTGTCATCTGTGATTGATGACAGACGTCCAGTAAAATGAATAGATTTATTGATGGTGGGCACTCTTTTCTTTTAATGTTTTATTATTGTGATGATTGTTTCAAGTTTTACATATCATATATCTAGTTAAAGAAATTCCTTTTATTCATATTCTCTATAGCACTTAGTTTGATAAGGGTTTTGATGTAGTCTGCTTGGCTTCTTTTGGCCAACACTATGTTTATTAGATTCATCAACATAGTTGGATTTAGTTGTAGTTTGTTTATTCTTATTGCTTTAAAATATGTGTTTTGCTGTGTGACAATGGCCCGATTTATCCATCCTATAATAAATGAATATTTGGTATAAAATTTTTAATTAGTCTGTCTTCTCTACTGTGAGACACTTGCAATCTGGGATGGTATCTTATGCATCTGTGTCTTAGTCCAGTTCCTGGCACATGGTACATACTCAGTAAATATTTAGTGAGTCATTGAATGATTGTTATTTTTTACGCAATCATCACATTTATTGGAAATGTTTGGAATAGAATTTGAATATTCTAAAATAGATGAATTCAAATGCTGTTTTAGTTTATGCTCAGGTTGATGACATTCCTATATAACAAAACTGATCTCTATTCTTTCTTACTGTCTTTTATTAGTGTTGTTTATTTATTTGTGCATTTGATGAAATTTAATAAAACACTTTGTTTTATATGTTTTATTATTGTCATTTTACTGTTTAATTTCTCCATAGAGAGTGTATGTATTTCTTGAAGTCAGGGGCTCTCATCTCTTTCACAGTACCCAGCATAATACTAAGCTATTATAAGAGCAAAATGAGTATTAATTCATTTGAGTAAAGAAACTTTTCTATGGACTTCAGGTGACTACACCAGTTGGTGGTTGAATTTGTTCATCAGAAGAGATTTTTTAATCTGAGTTTTAAGTGTGTTGTTTTCTTTGCCTACAGAATGAAGGCAAGAGATCTTTTAAAATTGACAGTGACGATGAACCTCATACTTGTAAAAAAGATGAGACTGATCGAGCTGTGATATTGTTTAAACCAATGGTATCGGAGCCAATTCATATACATAGGAAGTCTCCACTTCCAAGATCTAGGAAGATGGCTACAAATGAAGTAAGTATATGTGTCAGAGCATGTTTTTCATAAAGTAAACTAACTATATTTTAGTGAAACAGAAAAGAAAATACAGCTTTAATTGTGGAGCTTGGGAACCTAACAAATTTTTAATTGTCAACTTTGTCTATTTTTCAAGTAAATTTCAAAAAAATATAGAGGCAGTTAGAAAATATAGGGATTAGCTTTAGAATTCGGATCTTTACATATAGTTTTCATAACAAAATTGAATACAAATATGAAACTAAAGCTTTCTATGAAATTGATAAACTGACCAATTTTTTTTTTTGGTCTTATCACATTAAGTTATTCTTCAGTAAAGAACTTTTTAAAAAGTCTGATATAATGGATGAGAAATAACTTTTAGTGAGAAGTAGAGAGGAGTTACCAGAGATGCTTTAGGAATAACTGATTTTAGTAACAGTGGTTAAGATATGAAGGTTAAGATATGAAATTCCAAATTATTAGCCTGATTGCAAAGTCTGTATAGGAATTTGAAACTTTGATAAGATAATTGAAAATTTTATCTTTGTATTAAGACCTATATTTAAGTAGGTTAGATTGATTGTCTTATGCTCACTAATAGAATAATATCTAAATAACTACTAAAATAACATTTAAAAGGAGAGTTGAAGAGTTGGAATAAAGTGTGTTAAGTAAATCTTCAAGATCTGTATCCATTTTTATACTTTAAATAACCTTTTATCTTGGGTTATCTATTTTTTCTACAGAATGATTCTCTCAGCACTGATTGAGATTAGTGCTTATTAAATGTTTTCTAAATGCTCTAATAAAGCCAGAAATTAACTTTAAGATTGAACCATCAACTTTTAAGTTAGAAAAAAATTTGTGTTGATGTTTAAATGTACCATCTGAAGAATTATGTATAACACTTAGGGTAAGAATATGAATAACAAAAAGAATTATGCTTATTTCTACAGTCCCAAGTTATACAAACATAACATTTTTATGATTCTCAAATTTCAAATATATATGTAATCCAGTTTGACAGTTATGTATAGGAAAAATATCTATCAATAGATAGTTATAACTATAATGAAGGGCCGAGCCCGTGGCGCACTCGGGAGAGTGCGGTGCTGGGAGCGCAGCAGCGCTCCTGCCGCGGGTTTGGATCCTATATAGGGATGACCAGTGCGCTCACAGCGCTCACTGGCTGAGCGTGGTGCGGCCGGTCTTAAAAAGGACAAAAAAATAAAATAAAATAAATAACTATAATGAAAATTGTATACTAGTTAGGGTTCCTTTGAATGTAAAAAGGACAAAAAAATAAAATAAAATAAAATAAATAACTATAATGAAAATTGTATACTAGTTAGGGTTCCTTTGAATGTGGTATTTTAAGTTAATTATAAAAGAGGATGGTTTAAAAAAAGAGGGTAGTTAACAGTTATAGAACTTGGGATTATTTGTTCTATTATGGCTCAAATGAAAAATGAGAAATCTGGAGTTATTATGTTCAAGTATCCTTAATTTCAGAAAATGGGAAATGATCTATATTAATATTACCAAAACTACCATTTGGGTAAGGGCAGTGATTTTGATGTGCTGTCGAACAAGCAGTCTCAAGTTAATCAAATTGTTCAGAATTTCACAATTAAACCCTCTCTTCTTCCCTCTGAAAGGCCTCCATAGCAAATGTATAGCAAAATGTATTGTGAATCTTCATTTTTGCAATGCACCTGTACTTATAAAACCTTCAATAAAATCACTGCCCTTGTTAACTCTTAAAAGGCAGACCACATTTATAAACCTTTTTATCATAAATACTTAAGTAATTGATTTCAAGAGATTATTTCTATGCCACGCTAAACTTTTACTTCCATAAGGTGAATTATTCAAGTAAAACCTTGCAGACTTTTTCCAGCGTCCCTCATCTCCATGGATATAAGAAGTTTGTACTTCCAAAAGACACACCGAGAAAAAGACTATTGTCTTCATTTTGTGCAAGTAGATTTTACTCTGTCCTCACTGTCTGAAACCTGAATGTGCAAACATATAAAATGAAAATGTTTGCTGCATGTTTTGCTGATTGAACTCTATAAATAATCTTTTTAGGAGGTAAACAAATAGATTTGAGTCCACCTTATTGTCTCTGAATTTTTTTTTCTTTTTTTAGATATCTGGCAGACATATTTTCTAAGTTATATACATCTAAATCTCTTTAACTCCTTTCACTATTCTTTAGTGCTTTGGGTTGAAAAGTTCATCCAAAATAGCACAAAATTCCTTGAATATCTAAAATTAAGCAGGTTGTTAAAACAATTGCTAAAAAAAGAAACATTAAAATCTTTCTAGTTTTAGGAGGGAAGGGACAACTATTAAGCAATTATAAATATTTTGTATGTTTAAGGTATAAGATATTTCTATAATTGTTATCACATATAATTAAATTTATAATTAATTCCTATCAGATTCTCAAATATTGAAATATCTGGCTCCCAAATTACTGTTTAATAATTTTTAAAAAATTGATAAGCAAATGCAAACAAACTGTATTTTTTTTTCTTTCTGATCATTTGGCTCTGTTGTATCTAACTTTGCATGCTCTGCTTTTTTTTTTTTTTTTTTTTTTCCCCCTTTCTTACTTCCAGGATTAAAAAATTGATAAGCAAATGCAAACAAACTGTATTTTTTTTTCTTTCTGATCATTTGGCTCTGTTGTATCTAACTTTGCATGCTCTGCTTTTTTTTTTTTTTTTTTTTTTGCCCCCTTTCTTACTTCCAGGAAGAGAGCCCCCTGAGTGTGTCTAGCCCAGAGGGTACTGGTACCTGGCTGCATTATACCAGTGGTGTGGGTACTGGGCGTCGAAGACGCAGATCAGGGGAACAAATCACTTCTTCCCCTGTCTCCCCCAAATCATTGGCTTTCACATCCAGTATTTTTGGCTCATGGCAACAGGTTTTTAAACTTTACTTCATTAAACATTTTTCCTCCCTGCATTCAGAGCAACAAACAGCTGTCTTTGAGGACATCTAATCCCTTGTAATTTGCATCAGAGTAAATCCTTCTGTTTTTTAATTTTGAGTTCATTTATAAAGACTTACCATATCTGACAATATTTGAGGGAAAGAAACCATTTTTATTGCATGTGTTCAGCATTTTTACTGAGAAGGTTTTAAATATCCAGGATTGAAAAAATAAATTTTATACTCCTGGATTTTTAGCTTCTTAATAAAATTATTTAAAAAGGAAAGAAGTCTTTCTTTAACTTAGTTGTCCTTTTAAACTTTCAGAAACAAATTTATGTAATTTGATGGTAAGAAAATTTAATAACTTTTCCCCCCATAATTGAAAAATGATATTCCATTTGGAATTTGCTGACAATGTAGACATTTTTTAAACTATCAAAATTTATGTGACCCAGTGTTAATTAGCAGGATACATCTAATACTGATAGTTCTCTCCCTCACTATTTCATTAACTGGAAGTTCTCACTTAAGGGATACATACAGTATATTTTCCTTTGAGCTGTATAATATTTTAAAGCTCTGTTTAAGATAAAAGGGGCCCATAAACAATATGGGTCAAAACAAAATGACTTCAGAAGGACTTTCTGTGATGGCATTTGGAAATTAAAATACTATGGTTTTTGTTAAAATGGAAGATATGCTATCACACATGACTTTTCTGATAATTTCAGCAATTTCCTTTTGGAAATACAATGCATTTAATTGTAGGAAAAGGGATTATGGTATCCATTAAAGCTGTGAATATTTAAAGGTTACTCTGATAAAGCTCGTGCATGGATCAGTTATTGTATGGTGACCTCAACAGTCTCTGTCTATCTTTTCTTTTGTTTGTGGTTGTTTTTTCCCCCTTCAAATACAGGAGCTGTTTAAGAGTGGGCATTTGGCTTCTTTTAAGAGAGAGTGAAATTATATCAATCTATTAATTGTTTCTTTTCATCTGTCTTATTTCATACATAATGTTTCATTCTGAATGCCTGCTTGGTACCACTTCATTGCAAGGACCTCGTATGAAATGGACTCCCTTCAGAAGGGGATCTTGCATGATCTTTCATGTTTTATGTATTTCTACTAATATTTATCATACAGCTTATTAACCTTTGTCTGTCTGGAACAGGTTGTATATGAAGTATGGACTTTTGCATTTATTTTACTGTTTTACTTTATTTATTTTGCTTTCCTTATTCAGGTTGTATCAGAAAATGCCAATTACCTACGAACACCAAGAACTCTTGTGGAACAGAAACAGAGTCCTACTGTAGGTATGTGGTGTAGAGGAAATTGTATTCCACATACCCTTCTTGATCTCAATATTGTGCACACATCTCAAACTCTTCAGTAGTGAAAGCATGACCAAATGCTATGCTTTAGTTTTTATTTAACGTGTACTGATTGAGAAATGTTGAGTTCTACAACTCAAAATACACAATAAAGTTTTGAGAAAATTAATAAGAAATAGCATTTAATTTTGTTGTGTAACCCTTTTGAATGCCCACAGTGGTAACTGCTTAGTCCACTTGCCAATGCTGGTTTTTAACCTTATATAATATAAGCTAATTTATGAAGGGAATTTCATTTTCTTAGTCAGTAAAGATAGAAATATGCTGTTGCATGCAAAAAAGAACATTTCATTTTTCTGATTAAAAAGACTTTTAAAGTGGGAGTGTTTCAGCCCCTGTGTGTATTAATTTTCTTCTTCAGGAGTTCTTAGGCAAAACCAAAACAAAACTAATGCATAGTGGTAATCTTACTCTTTAGTGACCTATAAAACATAATTGATTTTTTGCTAACACTCAAAGCAGCATTGGAAAAGACCTTTTTAAACTCGTTTGGGTTTAAGTTCATAGTTGACAAACTGTGCAGGGTAATGGCATATTATTTTCTGTAAATAGTTGCCTGAATATGTTTAATAAAGGCATAAATAGATTTCATTGTAAGCTCAGACTATATATGTACTGTGATCTCTATATTAAGTATATGAACTGTGTTGATGCCTATGTACTTGAGGATTTTTCTTTATTCAATTATGTATAGCTTATATTGATAGCTTTTAATATTCCCACAGTATCTTTACAGAAATTTATATATTACCCTTTTAATTGCTGTATCATTGTATGTTTGATAGAAATTTATTTAATCCTCCCCCAGTAGTAAACGTTTTGCTTGAGTGTAAAGAGTTTTGCTACAAATTAAGAATCAGTTTATATTGGCTATGTTTTCTTAGCTAATAATGTGTTTCATTGGGGGTCTTATTAATTAAGATCGTAAGTCATTTATTTGTTAAGTATTAGAAATTTAAAGTGATTTAAGCCTGAAGAGACCCAAAAGGAGTTATTTTACCTGATCGTCTCACAAATAAATAAATTTTGATGTACTTTTTATTTCATAAGAAAGACTGGTCATTCTTAATTCAGGGGCATCAGAAAAGATTCTTCATTTACAGATATACATTGAAAAATATTTATTTAATATGATTTAATTTGTGCTAGGGAGAGGGTTTTTTTTATATGGCCTACTCTTGCAAATTGATTAACAGAATCCCTTCTCATCCTAAATTAATTTTTATGGTACAGTTTTTAATATTTTTAGGATGTATATGTCTAATTATTGTGTGGGCACATTACTTTTCCGCAAAGATAACATTTTGTTCAGTGTTAAATTACCCTGTTTGTACATATGATAAATGTGGTGGTGATTAGAAGCATCATATTAAAATTGATATCACTAGGACATTACAAGCATATTATGAGCCTGTTCAAGGCACTTCCAAAGGCTGCCTTATGTGTGGTAAGAGCCATGTTAATTGCATGCTGCATGAATTCCCATTGTGAATGGAAGAACACCCGTTGTATGTATTTTCTCTAACTCCCATCAGGGTCTCACTGTGCGGGCCTGTTTAGCACCTCGGTGCTCGGGGGTTCTTCAAGTGCACCTAACCTACAGGATTATGCTCGTACTCATCGTAAAAAGCTGACTTCTTCTGGCTGCATAGATGGTATGTGCACACATGCACACACAGAATCATACCTACACCCACGCACACACCCATGAGCAGTATTTCTGAAAGGCAAGTCTAAGACCACTGACTGATTCAAGTGGAATCCTAGAACCCTTTACCTAAATCTATCAGTGTTGTCTGTTACCCACAGCTTGGATCCATGTTACATCAGTTAATTGTAGTTAGACTTACAGTACTTGTATAATAAGTAGTTTGTTGAAATAGAAAACTTAGAACTGCATCACGTGTATTCTTTTTTAGATAATTGATAATCCATATTATAAAGAACAAATTTTCTTTGAGCTTTTAAACTTTTGTTTACTGTTAATCCTTATTTTACTTACTGATATTGAGCTAATTAAAATAAAGTGAATGGAATGTGTATAAGTAGAGGAAAATACCATATTGGCAATGTATTTATAAAAATAAACATAGGGGCTGGCCCGTGGCTCACTTGGGAGAGTGTGGTGCTGATAAAAATAAACATAGGATGAGAATATTTTCAGATCCCTAGCTGACGGAGATCCTCTCACTGTTGTTAATATACCGTAAGTTTTAATATTCAGAGTATCTTTTGAGGCTCATGGATCCCTGTGCCTTTTGTTAAGATAGTAGTTTTAGCTCTTTCAGGATCAGCTTTATTTAAACTTTTTCTCATATATCTACAAATTTACTTTTACCAGTAAAACACGAACTTACCAGAATTGCCAGCTTATCCTGCTTTTCTTTCTTTTGTATATTTCATTAAACACTTTGCCTCTATCATCAAACCACTTTACTTCTTTTAACCAATATTTGGCTTATTACCTTCTCTCATTGTTCCTTCTGCATGTCACCTAATTCTAACCTCCTTATATGTTTGTTTTTCCCCTCTTTTTTTAAGTGTTCTTTTGGTAGCTGTTATGAATTTCAGGTACCTGTTTTTCTCTTTCTCAGACGCCACACGCGGTTCTGCTGTTAAAAGGTTTTCTATCTCATTTGCTCGACACCCAACCAATGGTACGTTTTGCTTTTATTTTAAAAGATAATCCCCTGCTTCATCCCTTTTTTATTTTTCTTTTATTTCAAAATGTGGGGTATACAGTATCATTTATTTCTCCATCCTTAATTTCAATCGGCATACAATTCCAATTTATTCACCCAAATTATTGATACTGTCTGGCTCCCTTTTCAGCTGTAATTTATACAGTAATTTAACATTATTCATCCAACTTTGAAAAGAACACAATGATGATGAGTTTTAATACTAAATTAACACCTGAAAATTTCTTCTACTTTCTCAAGTGATAAGTCCACACAAATTTTTTAAATACAACAATTAGTATTCTTTAATTTGTTCTTCATTCTTAAGAATCTTAATGATTTTTTTCTCCCTAATTCCTTTTCTGATCACGTGGTTGTTTTATTGAGATATTTAACAAAAATACAGAGCCACTCATATAAAATATCCAAATGAGATATCTGTGAAAAGTCCTTGGGAACCAAGTGACACAGATTTTACTATGTGATATCATTTATCCCTGGCTCTTTGTCTAAAGCAAAACCTGACTTGGTCTGGAGTACTCTGAAAACTTTGTCCAACATTCACTTTGTCCTCACGTGACAATCTGGTTTGCTGTTATCAAGCAACCAATTTCTTTTGGTACCACTGCTTTTTCTTAAAATTTGAAGGACTCCTGATAGGAAGAAGACTAAGTTAAAATCTAGAAACCCAATTCAGTTAAATTCAGCTTTTGAGGCTGAGTAGGAAAGTATTTCATGACCATTATTTATAAATGGAATTGTTAGAGTATTACAGCTTTTCACACAGAGCTTGATCTTGTGGGGCAAGAAGGGATGTTTATTGATCATTTTAAAATAATTTAGGATTAAAGAATTTATAAGAAAACTTATAGGTTATTGCTTTTATTTGGAACGAAGGTACTTTTATCCCTGGAACTTTCTTTTTCTTTTTGACTGCAAATGAATCTTTCAAAAACTCAAATCTGGTCTTTCAAAAATTTTTATGAAGCTAAAGGATTCAACACAAGTTTATGGTCACTCTTCCATTTCTGGATCCTTTAACTACGCATCTAAATAACAATGCACTAATACTTCTTGAAGGTGGAATAAGAAGATCTCATCCTCAACAAGTGAAAATTTAGCCTTTTAAAGTTTGATGTGCTTTCCCTCCATTGTAGCTCTTTAAGTGCTACTTTTCTAAGAAAAAGATTATTAATTGATACAGCTAAAGCTTCTAAAGAACCCGCATTTATAAGACCCTCTTAGAAGAAAAACAGAAGTCACAAGAAAAACAGGTCACAAAATTCTAAGAGACATTATAGGCTTAAGACTATCTATAGTTTTTATATCAAATGCTTGTGAGTTTAGAAAAAAAAAAAATGCTTATGAGTTTAAAGCCCGTATTGCAGGTTTTATCTAGGAGAAACTTGTGTTCAACTGACGATTTTAAAAAAAGGATACTCTTTAAATTTAACAGAAAATAGAATGATTTTATACTCTTTTGTTTTAGGCTCTTTTTTTAATGTGGATTTTTCACACATTAATGCATATTAAATGCATTCCTTTCAATTCTAGAAATACTTCTTTTGGGTTTTCAAGAATTCTTTTTTTCTTTTTTTAATGTTGTGTTGTCTTATCTGTCTTATAAATTGTCATTTGACTCTTCCTTTTACTTTTTATTTCCCCTAACTTTCATGTTATTTTCATCTTTAACACATATCATGGACTTACCCCTCCCTTCATCTTTAGTTCAAGGAACATGGTGAAACAAGTATCTTCTGACAGTGCTTTACCTTATTTTCTGGGCCTCTGTGCAGAACACCTACACCTCTATAGGTGCTGGTCCGTTTCCTCTGTGGAATTTCTAGGCTCCAGTGGTATGTTTTTATAGCTTCTAAACATGTCAGCAGGGTGGCTTTTTAAATTGCTGCGCTAACCCTTTCATTATGTATTAAAGAAAAAGGTTACTAAAGATAAGTGGAGAAAAAATGTAGTCCAGAGGAAATGGATTATATTGTCATTTGCCTGTTATAAAATCTAGCAGGCAAGTGAAAGAAAATAATTGTTACAAAAGACTTATAAACATTCAGAGGAAAGGAGGAAAATACACACCATTTAGTGTAATGGAAAGAAAGGGTTTGCGCTCATTTGCATGAATCTTGTACTTTTTAAAAAAGTAACAGTTGTGCAGGCCTAATTTATTTCGTGCTTAACTTAGGTGCTTTAGCTGCTGTTATGGTATTACAGTTTTTTGTTTTTGTTTTTAAAGTATGTGTAATGTCTGTCGTGCTTTGGTTTGCACCTGAAAATCAAACATATACCAGTTTTGTAAGTTCTTTGGTTATTTTCATGGGAAGATTAGATTGCCTTTTAGCCAAAGTTTCCCTATTCCAACTGAGAATTAGGTAGTTCTTGGGTCAGTATTTCTAAACGAAATTTAAATAAATTAAATATCAGTCAATTTAAAAATGAGCACATGACTATTGAAGCAAAGAGTTTTGCAATCTAAGTTTAATTAGTGTTTACTTTTTACTTAATGATATTGGATTTTGTATAAAAACTTAATTTAGGTATTAAAAGTATTTCTTTGGAGGTGAATTAGTTTGAACTTATGGAAGATAGATGCATAAAGACTTGTTATTTTTAACAGTATATGAAAGCAATTTTTGAAGCCATTCAGTTGAATAAAGTTTCAATAAACAAGCAATTTTCTTTTTAAGAACGTGAATAATCTATATCCTGTTTGTTTAAAAGAAAATAAATGATGTGTGTTTAAGTGCTTTTGTTTCACTGATGTTATTAATATGTATATCTGCATGGTTGTTTCATGAAATTTTTGTATTTCTGTGCCATCGTTAAATACAAACATGTTTGTATTTTGTATTGGTTTTTATTTGGCCTAACTACTCAGAGAGGGATTTCCAATAATATAATTATTTTGTTAATTCAGTAAAGGTGGGTGAAATACGTTTTGTAATGCTCATTCCAGCATAAGTGAATGGATGTTGTTTGGGGATCACACTAGAAAATATTGTTGGCCTTGGCATGCCTAGAAAAGTGTTTAAAGTCACTCTTCACAAGTCATTACATAACTGTTTTTTGATAAGTTACCTTTAGTATCCTAGCATCAGGGACGCATCATGGCATCAGCTTACTGACCTATTGAATAGATCTGATTTTAAAGAATAAAAACTGAAAAATTGTAATTTTTCTGATTTTTTCCCCTAGGTTTTTTTCTTTAAGCATTATTCTTAGATTTTACCACTATAGAATGAAATTGTGTGCATGCCGTACTATGTAATTACATTAAAAATGAAATCTTTGTCACATCTTATTTTAACTTCATATTGCATAGCATCTGGTGTCATGACTTCGGAGATCTTGTATGTTTGCATGTGATAGATTGGAGAGACCTAGAGACTGTCTAGTTCTAAGCAGTGATCTTCCTTTTTAATTACTGATTTTTTAAATACCTGATTTTCTGTTTTGTTTTTGTTTTTTTTTTTTCTTTACAGGCTTTGAATTGTATTCTATGGTGCCATCTATTTGTCCTCTAGAAACTCTTCACAATGCCCTGTCTTTAAAGCAAGTGGATGACTTTCTTGCTTCCATTGCTTCCCCATCAAGTGAAGTTCTACGGAAGACCCCTGAAATTTGTAGGAAAGATTACCTTTGTTATTATTTAATTGTTGGGCAGTAAATATCTGAATATAATAAGAATTATAAAAATGTAAACCCATGTAGTGGTAGTGAATAGAAATTTAGGAAAAAGGGTGTAAAGGGGCATTTTTAGGAATTATAGGTCTTCTGAAGCCTCTTTTAAAAAAAATTTTTTTTGATTATTAAAGAAAATAGGGTGCCAATTATGATGGAAGTATCTGAATCTTATATTTTGTAGAGTGAATGCAAAACTAATATTAATTACAGTATATTTACATTATTTACACTTAATTCTCTGAATTGTCAAAGACGCAGCATCATATATATAGGACTATATTCATTTTGTGGTGTTTAAAATAAGGATGAAGACATTGTTAATCGTTTTTCCATACCTAGGACAAAATTAATAAGTTAATTCTCTGAATTGTCAAAGACGCAGCATCATATATATAGGACTATATTCATTTTGTGATGTTTAAAATAAGGATGAAGACATTGTTAATCGTTTTTCCATACCTAGGACAAAATTAATAAATTTTATGGTAACTAGAAGATAGCTTACAATGGGGTACTGACAATATCAGATTGGAGGAGGAGTGGGAATACTAATTAGAACAAGTTAGTGGTGGAAATTAATAGCAAAAAATTAGTAAAAACGTGCAAGCAGGAAAGTGCTAAGTAATGGCATAGTGCTTTATATATCTTAGGGACTTTTTCATCACTTATATATATATATATATTTTTTTTTTTTAAAAAGATGACCGGTAAGGGGATCTTAACCCTTGACTTGGTGTTGTCAGCACCACGCTCTCCCAAGTGAGCTAACCGGTCATCCCTATATAGGGATCCGAACCCGTGGCCTTGGTGTTATCAGCACCACACTCTCCCAAGTGAGCTAACCGGTCATCCCTATATAGGGATCCGAACCCGTGGCCTTGGTGTTATCAGCACCACACTCTCCCAAGTGAGCCACGGTCCGGCCCTCATCACTTATATTTTTTCATTAGTAATCACTAATGAGCTCTGACAGTGAAATTTATTTTCATTTGGTGTATGTATCAGCCACCGAACACACACTTTGCCATAACTGGCACACATCTTGATTTTCAAAAGCATGCTGAATATTGCTGTCAGCTTCCCATCTCCCTTTGTTTAGTAATCCAGAAGCTCATACCAATAGTTCCCCACCTACCCAATCCCCTACTTTGGACTGTCCTTACCCAGAATACTCCATACTTAAGAATGATCCCGATTTTTCCTTTTCACACTTCTCCAGCTTGATTAGAAAGAGTTGTTTTTTCATAATTTTAATCCCTCCTTCTCCTGAAGATAAATCTCAGCTGGGTAATATAGGAAGACAATCTGATTTATTTAATTACTTGTAGTCTAATTAGCCTATTCTTAAATATAATAGTTGAGTAGACCATTGTGTTTGTATATGAACCATTCCTGACTCTAGTTGTTATTTTTGAGAGAAAAATAATTTGAGACTCTTTGTCTTAAAGATTACTGACTCTGGAGCTGGCCCATGGCTCACTTGGGAGAGTGTGGTACTGATAACACCAAGGCCAGTGGTTTGGATCCCTATATAGGGATGGCTGATTAGCTTACTTGGGAGAGTGTGGTGCTGACAACACCAAGTCAAGGGTTAAAATTCCCTTACAGGTCATCTTTTTTTAAAAAAGAAAAAGATTACCTACTCACTTACCAGGAAATCAAACTATGCCATCAGCTCTCTGCCATGCCTTAAGAACCTCAATTTCTATCAGAGTAGGATAAAATTAAGACAGCTTTTCTATTCTTGCTGGAATGCCTTTGGTGTATACTGTTAAAGTGCTTATGATTTACAGTATCAACCGAACATTTATTTGGCTAAGGCCGTGAGAGAACTGTCTTTTTATAAGAAAGATGATCTTGGTAAATTTAATCCGCCCATCCTGCCTTGTCTATTTTGTACTGTTATTATGTATATTCTTAGGGTCACTAAATTATGTCATAAGAAGTTTTCTATAATATTAAAATAGAATTGGCAAGAAATTGTTAAATTACCATGTTTGTTTATTTATTTTTCATCCTCTATAGCTTCACGTTCCAGTCCAGTAATGAGAAGAAAAGTATCTTTAAATACATATACACCTGCAAAGATCCTTCCAACACCGCCAGCTACCTTAAAGAGTACGAAAGCAAGCAGCAAACCAGGTTAGGATGTGTGTGTGAGTTCATAGATTCTGTACAGCAATTAGAAGAGTAACAACAGCTTGCTTTTTAAATGTAAAATCTCTTTTTACGCAGGATCATTGTACTTCCTGGAGTGTAATGATCCTAAGAATTAAAATCTATTATTACAGCCTAATGATATATATTTATTTTTTGTTTCTGTTGTCTTATGCCTCCGCCCACATATGTTAATAAAATATATTTTATACTCACCCTTAATTTATGGACTTTCTTCTTTTGCTTCTCTGTTGAACCTGAAGCATCATTTTATATGAAAAAATTTTTTTCTTTCCTTACATTATCTTAATCTTTCCATTCTCAGTCTGATATTATGACTACCAAATTCAGCTATCTTTTATCAGCATTTTTTTTACTTTAATTTCTTGGCACATTTGATTGTGTTGTTGATCCTTCCTGAAATGTTTCTCTTACTCTGAAATGTTCTCTTAACTCTGACTTCCAAGATATTACTCTGTCTTGGTGTTCTTTCGATTTTTCTGATTCTTCTACTTTTCTTGTTTGATGGTTCTTCTTTTTCCTACTTTCTTGTCCCAGATAGGGACTTTCTACACTGTTCATTTTTTCTTATTCTACATATATATATGTATTTCTTAATACATATATATATGGTTTTTTAGAGAGAATTCTATATACTCCAAGGCTTTGATTGACTGTTCATTTTTTCTTATTCTACATATATATATGTATTCCTTCTTAATACATATATATATGGTTTTTTAGAGAGAATTCTATATACTCCAAGGCTTTGATTGTAAACTTACTGGAGGTATCTTCTTTCTTTGCCTCCTCTTAGTGCTCTCAATTATTCTTTAGGTTAAGGGTTTGTGCTTAGGAATCAGGGCTAGATTAAAATCTCAGCTCTGCTGCTTATTAGCTATATGACCTTGGGCAAGTTTCATAACTTTTCTGATTCTTAGTCTCATAATCATAGTCAGGGAAATAGTACCCACTTTATAAAGTTGTCAGAGATGAGTACAATAACATGTATAAAGTACTTGGCACACATAGTAAACACTCATTAAACACTATTGTTGTTATACTATGGTCAAACCGTTCTCTTCACTTCTCCCCAAGTAAATCCCCTTAGCACTCATGCAACTTTTTTTACACTTAAAGTGTTCTCCCTTTTACCTCCCATCTTTAAAGACCCAACCCAACCCCTTCCATTGATGGTGTATTTAGATGATTATCAAAACAAGAATTTTGATGACAGTCTGTACTACTAATTTTATCTCTGATACCTCATTATAGCTCTACCATATTACCAGGCCTTATAAATCAGGGGCAATATCTTAAATAAATTTGAAACTTGTATGTTGTAACTAATCAGTGCGTAAAGCTACAGGTAACTGAATAAATATCTTAAACGTAAGTTATGTTTCATTCCATATACAACACAAAGTTAAAATTTGTATAGTTCTTTATACTACAAAGCACTTTCTCATTATTCTTATAGTTGTCACTATAACCTTCAGAAGTCAATACCATTCTTATGTCTATTACACATGGAGAAAGTAGCAGAGAAGTTGTGAGTTATACCAGTTCCCATAGCTAGTAGTCAGTATACGGTAGGATTTGAATTCTCTTTAAATCACAGTATATTGTTGTTCTTTACATATTAAACATATAATAAATGCATCATTTTGTACATATTTTTAAGTAATAAAGTTAAAACGATGTTATATTTGACTTTTCAAATGTTAAGCTAAACTTGTATGCCTGGGATGAACCCTATTTGGTCATGAAGTATGATCTTTATATATATTTATAAATATATGTGTATGTGTGTGTGTATATATATACAGCTGCGCTATATACATATATATATATATTGCTGGATTCAATTTGATTTTGAGGATTTTTATATCTTCATTGGTCTGTGGTTTTCTGTTTTTGTAATGTCCTTTTCAGATTTTGGTATTAGGGTATTGCTAGCTTCATTAAATGATTTAGGAAGTGTTTCCTCCTTTTCTATTTTTATGAGTGAGTTTTTGTAAGATAATTTCTTTCTTAAATGTTTGATAGAAGGGGCCGGCCCGGTGGCGCACTGCTACAGTGCGCCGTTCGGGAGCGCGGTGGCGCTCCCGCTGAGGGTTCGGATCCCACATACAGACCGGTTCCCGCTCACTGGCTGAGCAAGGGGCGGGCGCAGCACCGAGGGTTGCGATCCCGTTGCCGGTCCCGGTCCGGTATGGGCGCGACACTGAGGGTTGCGATCCGTTGCCGGACACGAAAAAAGACAAAAAGGAAAAAAAAAAATGTTTGATAGGATTAATTTTCCTTTTCATTTTTGTGTTAATTTTGGTAACTTGTATTTTTCAAGGAATTTGTTCATTTTATCTAAGTTCAACTTTGTTGTTTCTTTATTATCCTTTTAATGAATGTGGTAATAACCTCTTTTTTATGATACTAGTAATTTGTGTTCTGTTTCTTTCTTAATCATTCTATCAATTTTCTTGGCCTTTTCAAAGAACCAAGTTTCAGCTATTTGTTTTTCTGTTTGTTTTATAATTAATCAATTTGTTCTTTATTTTCTATTTGTTATTTATTTTCTACTAACTTTGGGTTTACTTTTATCCTCTATTTCTAGTTTCTTAGGTCAGTGATTGATAGATATTTTTTTCTCTTGTTATATAAACATTTAAAAATGTAAGTTGTTCTCTAAGCACCTTAGTTGCATATTACAAAGGTTATGTTGTATTTTCATTATCACTCAGTTAAAAATATTTTCTAGTATACCTTGTGATTTCTTGTTTGATTTATAGAGTCTTTAGGAATGTATTAGTTAAATTCCAAATATTTAGAGGAGGGGGAGTTTGGATAATATCTTCTTAATCAATTTCTTGTTTAATTCCATTGTTATTACAAAATATAAACTGTATGATTTCATTCTTATGAATGTGAGATTTGTTTTATGGCTTAACATTTGTACGATCTGGAATGTATCAAGTAAACTAAAAAAAGGAAGAGTGTTCATTCTATAGTTCATTGTTCCTAATGTATACTGCTTTGTCATTATCCATTAGATCAAGATTACTGATAATGTTCAGATCTTCTGTGTTTTTACTGTTTTTTCTTTTGGGGGACTGGTGGTCAGGGAAGGGATTGTTCTATCAGTTGTGTAGAGAGCAGTTTCCACTCACAACTGCAGAATTTTCTATTTCTCCCTTTAATTTGGTAAGTTGTTGCTTTACATGTTTTAGAGCTCTTTTAAAGTCTTCCTAATATTTTGGCTCATTTATTATCATGAAATTTGCCTCTTTGATTTCTAGTAATGCTTTGATTTAAAGTTTATTTTATCTGATGTGGATATAGCTATTTTAGCTTTCTTATTAATATATGCATGGTATTTTTAAAAATCTGTTTACTTTCAATCAATCTGTGTCTTTATATTTAAAGTGGACTTTTGTAGACAGCATATAGTTGGCTTTTTAAAAAGTCATTCTAACAATATCTGCCAACTATTTATTACAACAAGAAATAGTTGTAGTATTTATAGCCCATTACCATTTAATGTAATTATTGATATGTTTGAGTTAGTCTACTACTTTATTATATTTTCTATTTATTCCTTCTGATTATTATTCTTTTATTCTAAACAGTCATATATGTATTTCTTGTAGTGCAGGTCTGTTTTCAACAAATTCTATTCATTTTATTGTGTCTGAAAAAATGTCTTTATTTCATCTTCATTCTTGCAAGGTAGTTTTGCTGGATAGAGAATTCTGGTTAGAAAGTTTTGGGTATTTTTTTTTAGCACTTTAATAATGTTCCACTCTCTTCTGGTTCCCATTGTTTCTCATGAGAAGTCTTAGTTAACTTGAGTTTTTGTGTATGCAATCGGTTATTTTTCTCTTTCTGGTTTCAATATTTTCTCTTTATCTTTGGTTTTGAGCAATTTGACTATGACATGCTTAGGCTTTTGATTACTTTTACCTGTCTTCTCCGTTCTGCCATTAATCCCATCCAGTTTTTATTTTGGATATTTTATTTCAGGTACTTATTCTTTAGTTTTAGACATTCTATTTGATTCTTCTTTATGTGTGTGTGTGTGTGTGTGTGTGTGTGTGTGTGTGTTTGCTTTTTTTTTTGTCACAGAGATTGTGTATCTGTTCATTCATTTTAAGTATATGCTTCTTTATCCTGGAACATAATTAAAATTGCTGCTTCATAATTCTTGTCTGTTAATCTGACTCATCTCAGGATTGGTCTCTGTCAATTTGCCCATTCTCAACAAGAAATACATTTTCCTATTTCTTAGTATGTTGAGTGATTTTGGATTATATCCTAGACATTGTGAATGATATGTTATAGAAACTCTGGATTCTGTTATTTCTGTTGTTACACCATAGAATAGTGTTGTGTTTGTTTATTTTTAAAGCAAAGAGTTAACCTTGGCTGAACTCAGGTTGCAAAACTGTGTCCCTTGAAGTGGCTGAAAGTTCAAATATCAGTTCACTTCTATTAGCCTTAGCTGGTCTCCTTGGAGCTTATTCTGCTTAGGCCATAGATTTGATCAGCACTTTATACATAGAATTGTGGGCTCCCCCTTCTGGAATTTCCCACCTCACTTTCTAGCAGCTAAAGTTGTCTCAGTACTTGTCTTCTGGTTCTTTACTCTAGTAAGACTGGATTTTATGTTGGAGTTTTAGCCATTCTACATGGTGTAGATTGGGGCCTATCCTCAGGCTAAAAGCTGTAAAGAAGGGGAAACTCACCCCATGTTCTTCCCTTTTTTCGAGTCTTGATTTTTCTCTAGTAACTGCCTGCTTTTGTTCACTCTTCAGTATCTTCAGGTGGTTGTTCCTCATATTTTATACAAAGTGTATACCTTTTAACTGCAGGAAGATTGGTCTGACAGGAGCTTACCCATCCGTAGGAAAAGTGTAACTCCACCTAGAACAACTTTTTGAAAACTCATTAGGCACTGATGTTGGTTCAGATGTGGAAGGATGAGTCCTAAGTCAGGAATGCTTCTAGTTTTCTAACCTTCTATCTTTTTAGATAGTGGTGAGATAGAAATACAGGAGGAAATAGATATTTATAGGGAAAATGAAAACGTGTTAGGTTTATGTTTGCTGTCAGATATCTATAAAGAGAGTTTCAGTAGGCAGTTAATATACTATATCTTGAGATAAAGGAAAATCCTTGCTGGAAATATAAATTTGAAAGTCATTAGCACAATGGATGGTAGTTAAAAATGAAGGAAATGAATTAGTTTCCCAGGAAGAATATAGAGTGAAATGAGAAATTTATTTTGTGTACCCAGCCCATTGTCATTACTTTTCTGTATTTGTGTTGCATTCTAAAAAATAGAAGGTTAAAAATGTTATATTGAATGTTTAGAATGTTTTATTTACATCATAATCATAATAAGAATTATTTTGTCATTCAGCAGTATTATTTGAACTTGGATTGCTTGTATAAATCTAAGCAATAGTATTTCTTTTTTTGTATAGCTACCAGTGGACCTTCTAGTGCAGTTGTTCCTAGTACCTCAACTCGGAGAAAGAGTATAACTAGCAAAACAGAAGTGCATGAACACAAAAAAAACACCGGGAAAAAGAAATGAAATCTTCTCAGCAGAAGCTGGAACAACTTATAAAAATCACATGTTCAGTAGAAAAAGATACATAATAAACCTTGACTCAAAACTGTCAGAGCAAGTAATTTATGTTTTTCCTTATACATGTCTGTATTCACTTATTAAATGTAGGGGATTCTTTGAATATATTAGGTAAGCAACTTTTGTCACAGTCGAAAAATGTTTAAAGCAATGTTTATTAGCATTCTGTGAGTAACACAACCTATGGTGATAAAGGTCTGTTGTTGTTAATATGTTTACCATGTACCTATTGTAAAGACAAGGAACATAAAAGCCCAGCTGACCTGTACCAAAGTCACACCAGTAGTGCTGTGTACTGCAGAGTCTGGTGAGGCGGCCTCTGTATACACTTTTATTTTCATGGGATTGAATCTTAGCTGTAAAAGCCTTTAGCTTGTGTTGAAATTTGACAGACATGTTTACATATTGGGTACTTTTTAAAAAGTATATTTCCAAAGAAATTTCATTGACCACTTAGATTAGAAAAATTTTCCCAATTGTTATAGTGATGTATATGCTGGAGTATTTAATAACTGGAATATTAGCATGTGGGTTATTTTTCAATCTATGCTTTGAATTTTTTTATTGTGTGTTATTTAAAATATTACATATGTAGCTGGAAGAACTGTACCTTTATGCACATAAGTTCGGATATTAATTTGTAGAAAATATTTCTTTATGTATTTCCTTACCATAAGAGGTGCTTTGTTCATCACGAAAATATTTGTTTCATATATTGGCAAGATAGGCACCCTTAGAGTTTCTTTTTAAGAGATATAGTTGACAAGTTTATAAATGTTGCATTTATTTTCAGAGTTGTTTTTAGAGCTAAGAAACTCAGTTCAAAAATGGAAATCATCAATGATAGAAGAAATTTGAATTCTATTAAGTTAGTAGGTGTTAGGTATAGCATCTGTTTTTGCCATTTCTATTCTTATTTGCTGTGTATCAGTTGATCTCACTAATAAAGCTTAAAAATTGAACATTTGAAATAAATTCTCTTTACAGATGATTAGATATTGAAGGGAAATAGAGATCGCTGTATTAGGATTTCATCTGTGATATGAAAAAAAAATTATTATCCTTGGTGCTTTTTCTTCCCCAAATCCACAAATAATTGTGAACCACTTGAAATGACTAAAACTGTATCCAAACAGTGCCACCTGCTAAGAACTCCATGCATTGCAAGTTACATAACTTAAATTTCTAAAGCTTTAGCTTGAGGCTTATGTTTAGAAAAATTATTGAATTCTTATAGTATAAATACAACTATTGTAATTCTTCAGAAGAGACTCTCCTAACCTTAAATCATCATATATGAACTGACTTTTAGAAAATAAACATATTATATATCTGTTATTTTAAAGGTACCAGATGCAAAAGTCATAAATATATACAATTAAATAAGTTCATGTACTTCACATGAATGTAAATGTATTATATAGACATGTCTTGTAAACAGTTGAATGTATCTGGTTTCCTGTATGTGAAAATGTGGTTAATGTGCTTATTGTGGGGGTAAGAAAACTTTTGTTTTTTAATGGAAATGAATTAAAATATTATTTTATTTCCAGAATGAGAGAGTGACTTAAATATTGTTATTTTTTATTTCTGTTCTTTATCTCTTTCCTTTTTGCTTTCAAAGTAGAAAGAATGAGGAAAACTATTTTAATATTAAATAGTACTTAGACATTATTATTGGCCATACACATAGCAATCTATTGCTTTCCAAACAAGAAAGTACAGTACAATTTACTTTTTCCTGTTGTTATACAGGAACTTTTACTTCACTGTAGTCACCAAACTTAGTAGTATTGCTGTGTAAACTTGACAGTCTGTTTGCAAGAATCTTAGAATCATTTTTCAAGACTAAAAGTCTCTTTGCTAACCATCATTGTCACAAATAACTATTCTGAAAATAAATCTATTAATTTGTAAGAAAAATGAGACAGAGGCACTGTATCATCCCATTTCAACAGATTCTTATCTATAAATTCTATGTATAATGTCCGTTAGATATTTAATTTGAGGATATGCTAAAAGGCATAGAAAACAATTGGTTAGTATTATTTAGTGTAAAAACGGTATTCAGTATCCACTAATACCATTTGAGATGTTAACTTTCATGCTGTGTGTAAAATGAATCATTGCTTAATGTAAAAATGTTATAAAATTATTTGAACACATCAAGTAGAGAAAAACAAAAACTAAAAAATTAATATTTACTCAATACCTTCATACAGCGATTTTTAAAAAAAACTAAAGAAATATTTTATATTTCTAGTTTTCTATTTCCATAATATGGATTATATTAATATATTAGTATAACCTTATTAATATTAATATTACCTTATTTTATGTCTTAAGTTAAATTTTACTATATGTCAAATATACAAAGATTATATCATTAAAATATTAACTTTTTTATGGGGCCGGCCTGGTGGCACACTAGGTAGAGTGCAGTGCTTGGGAGCGCGGTGGCACTCCCGCCGAGGGTTCGGATCCCATATAGAGACCAGTCCGCTCACTGGTTGAGCGTGGTGCGGGCGCGACACTATTATTGTATATGATATAATTTATACAAATTATAGCTCCTTCATTAAATATATTTTTGAGATTTTTTTATAAACTGTTTCTCCTTTGGCCCTTGTGTTTAGTAATGGATTGTGAGAGGGGAAAATAAAAATCTTTTTTACTTAGAAATTTCTGTTAATTTCTCCTTTTGTTATCTATGGTTTTTACTTTACTCTTTTCCTACATAGTATGTGGCTATGTTTTCTGGTGCTTACAAATTAATGACTTAAATTTTCATTGTAGTTGTTACCTTTATCATTATAAAAATAGCTTTTTCCATTGGATGCTTTTTACCCTGTAATTTAAATTGTCAGGTATTAAGATTATGACCTATGCTTTATTTGGGCTTGCATTTGCTTGATATCCGTCTTTTTATTTCTTTTTTTTTTTTATATTTGTGTCACTTTGTTTTAGATATTTTATTTTAACATATAAGGTGAGTTTTGCTTTGTGATTCAGTTTTAAGATCCTTATTTAATAGATTAGTGTAGTCTTTTTTTTTTTTATATTTGTGTCACTTTGTTTTAGATATTTTATTTTAACGTATAAGGTGAGTTTTGCTTTGTGATTCAGTTTTAAGATCCTTATTTAATAGATTAGTGTAGTCTATATTTATTCGTATGTAATATATCTTTGCTTTTAGATTATGCTTTCTGTTTTTATTGCTTTTACATTTTTTTATCGTTCTGTAACAATACTTTTTGTTGCAAGTAAGAAAACTCCAATTGAAACTGTCTTAAATCATAACAAAGTTTATTATTACACATTTCTGAAGGTCCAAATGTGGAGTTGGCTTCAGCCACAGTTCTGTCAGCTATAATGTTATCAAGGACCCATGTTCTCTCCCTCTCTCCTCTGGCATAGTATAAACTTTATCCCTAAGTTTTTTCCCCACATGTTCACAAGATGGTTGTCAGTGTCAATAAGGGCTACATATTTCCTTGTTCATGTCCAGCACAACAAAAATTGAGGGAACTTCTTCCCCAACCAAGAAATATTAAGTTGTTCACTTCAGTATCTTGGGCCAATTTATTTGGTCATCTGTCTGCCCCTAGATGAATAACATTCTCCAGAAGCACATTCCATGAACTTACTGGCCCTGGCACTGGTGATGGGGTCAGGTTCCCCCAAAAGCCTCAGTGCTGTTGACATTATGGACCACATAATTCTTCACTGTGGAAGGCTGTTCTGTGCTTTGCGGAGTGTTTAGCATCCCTGTGCTGAAGTGTTGAGGTAGTCAGTTAAGACAGCCAAAATGAAAGCAATTGTCAAGTCTTCATTGACTTACTGGCATAATATTATTATAAGCAAGAAACCAAAAAGGAAAGTAGTGCTGGCTCTGCACTGTTCCATTCTTCCCCCCACTTCCCCCGACCTACACCCCATGAACCAGCACCAGGCATAGGGCAATAAGATGACATGCAAATGCAGGCAGGGGAAATTGTTTCACTGATGAGGATAAATGATCAAAAGGTTTCTGCCATCTTATGGACACAGGGGACTAGGGGTAGGGAGAGGGGCAAGAGCTAGGAGTGGAAAACCGAGTCAGAGTAGAGAAGTGTCTCAGCCAAGGCCCCCTGATAAGGAGGCTTCAGAATGGAGCTGCCTGGGCTAGGAATGCAGCTAGGTGTATGGACATCCAAGAGGTCCTGAGCCCTGACTACAACTCCTTCCAGAGACTGCAGTGAACTGACTATAAGGCCTTTAAGCAAAGCCTTTGTAATTGTCTATGGTTGAGCCTGAAAGATCTCATGTAGGATTTGGGCCTGGAGCCAATCTCCTCACCCTGGCCTCTCCCTTAAATGCCAGTAACATCCCCCCAAATTTTGGCAGTCAAAAATGTCCCTGGATATTAGGAGGCAGAATTGCCCCTAGTCAAGAACCACTGCTCTAAAGCACATAATTGTGTGAAGAAGAGAGGGATATATGACCAAAATCAGGGTTCCGATAGGAAGGAAGAGGGAGAGGAAACATAATGAATAAATAACCAACAATGTACACTGTACACTACACTTGCATTATATCATCTGTGTTTGCTACATTTTGCTTTTTCTGCCAGTGGTTTTCTTAACTTATTTTTAATTACACTAGTAAATTTAATTTGTTAGATGCTATCTGTTGACTTCCTGCTAAGAAAAATGTCCAATTAGTATACTTCTACTTTTCCTCTGCTGCACAGTTTTAATAGATGATATTATTTCCTTGCTTATGTTTACCTTTATATTTGTAAATATTTTATACCTTTATTACATGCTTATCATTTTAAGTGCTATATTTTGAGCCCCTGATTAATCAAAATGGAGAAATCACTCCACCTTATCTCTTATCTCCTCTTTGCATTTTGTTAGTTTAGTTTATGTGCTCTGTATTCCTTATGATGTGGCCCTATTTCTGGGATGGTTTTTTTTTTTTTTTTTCTTTTCTGAACTCTGTTAGCTTAGGTTGCATTTCCTTTGGTTGTTTTACCATAGTGTTTCTGATCACCTATATCTCTGTATAAATTGTTTCCTTAAATTCTTTGAATTATGACAGCATAATTGGTCACATTTTTTATGCATTGAGTGGATTCATTTCTTCTGTTGTGTGGTTTTTATCTGCTTCTGTTTCTCCTGTTCCTTTCCTCCTTTTCTTGTAGTGTTTTTGTATGAACATTGTGCAGGGTCATTCTCAATTACTACTTATTTTTAAATGAAGTGAGTTTCTTTCTTGCTCATCTATTTGATATGAATTTATATGATGGGGAGGGCAGCATTTGGGACTTACACAGTCTTCCCTGGGTTACAGCAGAGCTCCTTTTAACAATGATTATGACAATGATTATGGGTCTCAGAGAGCTGTTATAACCTTTTATTCTCTCCAGCCAGCAAAGATTGGCAACTGCAGGGTTATTCCCCTTCGGAGTCTCTTTCCTCTCCTCTGTCTCGTCTGCAGACTCCTTGTAAATCTGGCATGTCTGTATTTCCTCCTTTGTTTTTGCTCTTTTTGGTACTAGATAGTCTCCAGGAATCTGCTACTGTTTGCACTCATCCCATTTCCATTGTTTCAGACAAGGAACTGAGTTTTTCCCTCAGATTTTGGAATTTTTTGGTGTAATGACTTTGAAATCTGGACCTGTAAACATCCTCTCCAGGCATTTTCCTGTTTGACCTTTATTGCATTTGGCAGCTCTATCTCCTACATTGTGGTTGAGGTTGAAGTGTCTTCTAATTTTGTTGAATATAGTTTATGTTTATGTTTCATATTTGGGGATAATTTGTCTATTGGGAAATTATTTTTCCTTATACATTGTGGTTGAGGTTGAAGTGTCTTCTAATTTTGTTGAAGATAGTTTATGTTTATGTTTCATATTTGGGGATAATTTGTCTATTGGGAAATTATTTTTCCTTCATCTTCAAACTGGGCATCACTTTTGTTTTTGTTATTATCCTTTGACAGGAAGAACAAGAACAAAAGAACAAAAAAGGAGAAGCCCATTCCTAGATTGCCTATCACAGTTATGTTTTCTAAATGAAGTTAATGCCAGTCTTGTCTATAGTACAGTGTTGTCAGAGAATCAAATGAAATAATATTTGGTAAACTCTGAAGTGAAGAATAAATCTGAAGCATTATTTGTATTCATTTGTTGTAATAGAATTGTATATAGTCCAAATGTCAATCAGGCCTCTGTTTTCAATGGTATTTCAGCATTTTTACAGTCAAGGATGTTCTAGATAGCTCTCAATACTCTTTTATGGCTGCTCTTGTTGCCAAGGGAACAGCCTGCCTAGTAACAATCTGACATCCCTTCCCCCAAATCAAGGTTATTCTAGGATCTTCCCCTTTAAAAAATCTTTAAAATGAGATGATCCAGTCCTTATCAAAGCAGTGTTTAAAAAAAAAAAGGCAGTATTTAACAAAATCAGGTGTTTCCTTCTACCCACCCACCCATCTCATATTGTGGGAGGTGTGAATGACACCATTATGTGACCCTGGTGGGATAATGTATGTGCAGTTTAGATGCCAATT